CGCTCCGGTCCTGTGCGACGACGCCCGGAGCTGGGTAGTCCGATCGGAGGAGATGGGAGCGGGGAGGGGGTTGCTCAAGTGCCGGAAATGTGCTTATTTTGCGGCCCCGGAGCGCAACTTTGGGCAAGCCGGAAGAGCGACCGAAGAGCACCCCCCGGAGGCCAGCCGCCAGAAGGGGAAACTCTGGGCACGCCTGGCGCGTGGTCTCGGGCGACAGCCTAGGCGCCTCTCCGGGCAGCCCTCTCCACCTGAGGAGGGGGCGCGGCTAGCCTTGCTAGCCACGCGGCCAACTACCCCTCCTCTGCCCCCGCTCCCGTTCCCGTTCCGAGGAGGAGAGGGTCGGGCAGGCGGCCAAGAGTCGCTTCGGGTCGCGGGGAATTCGCGCTGGAAGCGCTTGCGAAACAGTTCAGCTTCGTTCGGGCCGCCTCGCTATCAGCGCTGAGCAGACGCGCCGGGCGCCTGGGAGGGGTAGATGCGGGACAGCCGGCGCGCTAGGCTTGGATCGCGCTAGTTTCGCCTGAAAGAGAAGCGACCCCGCGGCGAGACTGAGTCTCCCCGAGTTCGCGCTTCAGCTGCTCTCGGCTTGCTGGGAAATGCCCCGGCAGGGCGGGAAGGGGCATCAAGCCGAGAGCGCGCGCCTTCTTGCAGGCAGGAGGGGGGTCCCGAGCCCCCCTCCCCCGCCAGCGACAGGTCCCGAGTAAGGAATAAGCAGAACAGAAGTGCCAGACGACCGGCTCAAAGGCGTGACCCAACAGAAAGCAACTTCACTCGTTTTTATCTTGTGTGTGCAAAGACCCCCATGCTCGAATTAAAGTTTCATAACTGATTAGTCTTCAACGTTAAATTCTGGGTTTTTTGGGGGGGGTTGTGTTTTTTTTTGTTTTGGGGGGGTTGTATTTGGTGGGGAGGGTTGGTTTTTTGTTTTTTGGGGTTTTTTTGGTGCCTTCGAGTCAGTGTTGACTCCTGGTGTGCGCCTGCACTAGTCCCTGGCAAGATTCTTGGCAAGATTTCAGGAGTGGCTTGCCCAGCGTCTTGCTTCCTGGGGCCTGATGCCTTAATCACTACACCAAACTGCCTCTCATTTCTCATCTCTCTGAATTCTGTTACAATCTGAAAATCGGGAAATGTTAATAAACCAGGGTTTTTGTTCTACCTGACCATTTTCTGGGAGTTTATGCACAAAGGAGCAGTTGGGTGAAAAGTTTCGTATCCGATTTAACTCTATTAGACATAGTTTAAATGGACTGAGTGCCATTTAACATCCACTCCCTCCTTTTTCTTTCAAGGAAATTAAAAATTCAGTGACATTTATCTCTGAAATTAAAAATTCAGAGACATTTGTCTCTTCATGGGGAGAAGCTAACTGAAAAAAATCTTTCAACTCCACAGCACCAAACAAGCCCCTTTATTTTAAAAGCCTCAAAATCCCAAAAGTGTGACAATCAAGCGCAGTATAGTTGAAATCTACATCTCTCTCTTGATTAATCAGGATAAATTTACTGGATTCATTTTCAGGGGACTCTCACTTTGCGAGTCCCAAATAAGGAGGTACTGACTTGTTAAATCATAGACACACCACCAGCTCATAAATCATGGAACAGACCTGGCAAGTGGCATATGCAAATTTGGCCTTTGCTTTCCATCCAAGAACATGCTACAAGTATTGTGGATTTATGTCACTGCAAAATAAACGAAGGGATCACAGTAAAGCTATCGGCATCATAAATTGATTCGTGCTATTTGTGGACCAACACAGTGATTACTTAAAAGGATATTTGGCTCTACATACATATGCAGATACACCTAGTAATTGGACATCTTTTCACCCACTGACGTAAAACAATAGGCTTTTTCATAAAAAGTGCTAATTTGTACCATTTGGAATTACTTCTACCGGTCCATGCAGATCCTGAGATGTGCTACCGCAAAAGTATGCGCGCACAGTTGAGCATTCAATAATGACATCAAATTCACTTGCTGGAACGTTCTGCGTAGGAGCCCCGAACAGCGTATGTATGACAGATTACACACTCAGAAACTTCCCAAGATCAGCATATTAATTGCTTTCTTGTGGTTGCATTGAAACGTGAAAAATGGTACAAATGGAAAAGATTTAACCTTCCATCGTGTGAGTCGGTATGTATATTCTATATTCAACTAGAATATTATTGCATTAGGTGTGCATACCCTTATATCTGAAAAATAGTACATATTAATCCACAAATGGCATATATTTGATGCATTCCTTAAAAATTGAAGAATTATTTTCCTGCCTCGCCAATGTAAGATCCATTTCTTAAGAATCATTATTAATATTTAGTGATGGTTATTATTAGCTATCATGTTTAAGTCCAGAATTAAGTATCCTTTAGAATGTAATTAGAATGTTTGTGCACTCTGATTTCCACTTTCATGTTAAAATGAAGCTAAGATGTTTAAATTATTAACTCAAATGGGAGCATGATCAAGTTTGGTTTTTTTTTTTAGTTGCCAGGATCAATATGTGACTTACTAGCTGGTTTGTTAATATTGTAAATCAGGTCGATTCCCCATTTCAGTTGTCGTCTTCCCCCAATCCAGAATTTGGGGAAGGGAAACATTCTTAAATTTACGCAGAGCCTATCTTGGACATTAAATTAGAGGCAAATTCACCAGTGGATTTAGTCTGAAGTTCAATACTTTAACTTTTCAAGTTCAGCATGGCAAAATCTGGTCTTAAAACTCTGGCAGACAGCATCCAGAAAGAATCCGGTGCAAAGTAAGACAGTTTCCTATGCAGTATTTCTATGCTCCTAAGCAAACATAAGTTGCCGCACATTATTTCCCTATGTAGATTTGACATTTCTTATATCTGCTGGTGTGGTGAAGTGAGCAAGTTTGTTTTACTTTGGAACTAATACAGCATTTGGAATTAAAAGGGTGTTTTTGTTTGATAGAAGTTTGGGAGACTGCTGTTCTCCTTTCCTATTATACCCCTGGGCAAGATTTAACTTTCAAAGAAGTAAAAACTGAAATATAATTGGAACAAATGAAGGTGTTGCTTTTACTTATTTTAGTGACTTACAAGGCTGGGAAAATGAACTACAGAAATAGCCCTGTTTTGCCTGCTTCGCACTTGAGATACAAGGTGTGTTGTAGTAACATGAATATAAACTACTTTGATACTGGGAATATCCGAGATGGCAGCTCTGACGCAGGTGTCTGGGGTGGGGAGTTAAAAAAGCCAAGATGGCAGCTGCAGCTTGCTCAAAGTGCTGCCCCATTTTAATTCAACAAGCAGTAGAGCTTCAAACACATGGTCACAATTGCCATCTTGAACACCCCTTCTGTGGACATCCCTGATCTCACCTGCTACAGAGGAGGCAATAAGTAGGATTTATTGAATTTATTCTCTCCAATGTCTATTTATTTTTTCTTTAAATCACTTATCAAAGAAATGTGCATGAAGGTCTGTGTTCTCATGATGGTCACCAGTGCCGCAATAGGTGAACTTATACTAAGGTTTTTAATCTATTAAACGTGGTTAAATGATGCCCTTTCAGACAATGAAGCAATATGAAAGTGAATCAGTAAAATAGGATGACTTACGACTTTGAGTCAGGAGAACAAAAACCAAAAGAGGAGTAGGAAGGGAAATAAGTTTTTATGTTAACGTATAGAACAAAACAGAGAATTTGCAAGATGCGCTTAGCAGCAACACATCTTGTATTCTGGGTAGCACTTTAACCACAGATTGCTGCAAAATTGCTTTCCCTTGGATTATGTTCTCCTGTGATTTCCGGGGGCTTGGCCTAGGATATGCTACAAGCAACAATTAGATTGAGGAAATCACTTGATATTATACATTTTTAGATGTACTATTATTTATAATGCTTATGTGCCCTTATGTTCAAAACACTCTCTGTATACACACACACACACACACACAAACACATGTATATAGTGGGCAGATTGCAAACAAACTTTGATATCTTGAATCTCTCCTACAGATAGGGAGGAAAGGCTTTTTCCCTTGTGTATGAACAGACAGCCCTAAGAACAGTTGCCACCATCCAGCCCATATGATTTCCTGCAATGATACAATGTCAAAGTGACTGCTTAAATTTGCTCAGCATTATGTATCGTTTCCTCTCATCAAACTTTCTCACCTGCTATTGTTAGCTCCCCTGAAGAAATACAACTTTCTTGATCATTTGCTTTTCATATTGCAAAGGTGCATCAGATTGTTTTTCCAGCTTTAGCTGTTCCTGGATTAGGAGAACCTGCCCACCACGATCCATGTCCTGAACTCAACTATTGCCATGTGCTTTATGGGGACTACCAATGAGATTGGCCTAGAATCTGTGGCTAGTACAAAATGCTGCAGGTGCGTTGCTGAATAGGACAGTCAACCATGAACCTGTTACACCTTTTTTTAAGTGAAAAACCTGGATATTTAACAGAGCACCTTCTCCCATATGTACCTGCCCATCAACAAAAGTGTCTTTCACCAGATGTTGGGGATTTGCTAAGTGACAAGGCAAGGGGATATATCTCTTGTGTCTTTCTGATATGATCTAGTATTTTTCTCCATGTTTTAGAGTTTTTTAAAGGTATCTTAGATTTTTACTGAAGTATTGTTTTAAGCAAATGTGTTTAACTTACACTTAATTGCTTAATTGAGCTTCATTTGGAGATGCTTTTTAGTAATAGAAGAGTGAGATAGAAGATGTATAAATAAAAATACAACATAGAACATTAGCTGTGTGCCTTCTGATACTGAAATAAAGAAGCACATTCCAAATAAGTTCGCATTTTCTTACTAGCTCTTATTCTAAAAATACTAGTAAATTTGATGGAATTCAGTGGTGTTTGCTTATAAGTAAATATGCATCAGATTGCACTGTGGGTTTTTTAAATCTATCCACTTAACTTTATGAGCTTTTCTGAGGAATATAAATGAGAGACAGCTCCCGCACTCAAAGAGATTACCAATGGAAAGGCATTTGAACAGTATGACTACTTGTATGGCTCCCATCTGGTCTCCTTCCTTTTTTCCCCTCTGCATGATCCTAAATCTCTTGCTATTTATCTATAGGCTACAACGACAGTCTATGTCACCATCCTGGATGAGAATGATAATCCTCCAGTATTCCAGCAGCAGCCGTATGAAGTCACTTTGGATGAAGGTCCAGGCACACGGAATGCTGTTCTTATCACCATCAGTGCTGTAGATCATGATGAAGGCTCAAATGGGACCATTACCTATGCCATCACAGAGGGGAACATCATGAGCACCTTTCACATAAACAGCACTACGGTTAGTGCATCACCACATTGCTTTTTCACTTAGCACCACCGCACAGTGCATCCCAACCAAATTTCAGAGTCTATCAGTCCTCACTGCTGAAAATTAAACTTTTTTTCTTTTTTTTGGTCTCTCATTTTAGGGACAAATACGTACAATGAAGGAATTGGACTATGAAATCAGTCACGGGCGCTATACGCTAATAATCACTGCCACAGATCAGTGTCCAATTCCGTCACGCCGTCTCACATCCACTACAATGGTATGTTTCTCTTCTTGGAAAGAAATGAAATCTGCAGGCATGGCAAATACACACATTCCCTTAAAAATGCTTCCAACCGCAAATTGCTACAGAAACATCCTTTCATTTTTTAAAAGCTAAGATCCGTTAATGAAATTAATGCTTTCCTATTCTGTGAACAACAAGCTGTTGATCTCCCAGTAAATGTAATCTTGTAGATTCTACAGTTATTTCTGCACTATAAAAAAGCCATTCAAAGCAACTATTATTTCAGTGGCTTTCAGAATGGGAGGAAATTCCACGAACAGCTTCCAGAGGAAAAACATGCTTCTTATTTGACTCCAGGATAGATCCTGATTTGAAAAATGAAGAAATCATTGCACTGTGTGCAATCTTTTGTGTTTCTTTCCTTTTCTTTTTGGAATTTCCTTATTAATTCTTCTTCTGGAATTGATGAAAGTGCTGTCTGGCTACATTGTTTTTTCCCGTAGTGTCCCAATTGATGTATTACAGCTACTGCACTGGTACAATTCTGAATTTGGGTATGTTCGTATCCAGCGACTCTTCATAAAAATATATTTGTGTTTCACCAAATACAGTGGCCACAACTGGTGAAAAGAAAGAAATATTAAAAAACAAACAGATGGGGAACCAGGACATTCAGTTGTCACAAGAAGTAATTGAGAAAGGCCTAAATGTACATGACAGATTTAAAAGGTAGCACACTTGGAGAGGGAGGCTGAACTTTAGTTTTCTTCCCAGCTATAGTGCGTATTATTTGTTGACTTCATACTGCAGACATGTACAACCCTGTGACATTTGACATCTACTGTTGTAGGAACATGTTGGTAACAATCGGTATGGACATGTGTTTGCTTATCTTGGCCTCTGCTCAGAACAGATTAAAGAAATTATGAGGAGGCCTTCAGAGTTGAGACAAAAATTGCCTGATTGAAAGGTAGTTATAAAGATCCTTCTGAAGACATAATTTTTACATTTCCCCAACTCTTAGTAGAGTACAAGTGGTAGCATTAGGACCTGTTACCATGGGAGTTCTTCCATGCTCTAGTAGTTAATTTCTAAATTAATAAATAAGGTTTAAAAAGTTATTTCTGCCAGACAGATACCATGTTTAGCCAAAAGGAGGACAATCTTCACTTTAAAAGTTGTCAGAAATCTTGTGCAATGCCCAGCTTTCCCATCTTTTTAGCCACACGTGGAGAAAAATACAAGGCCAGGCATACACACAAACACAGAGAAGCATTGCCCTTCTAATTTCCAACAGAAAGAACAGCAGCAACAGAAACACAAAAACAGAAATAAGAAAGAGATGGGGTTAGCAGAACAGGAAGCTGGACAAGGAAGGGAAGAGAAGAGAAATGGGAAATGAAGCAAGAGAAAGAGGTGGACAAATAGGGAAGAAAAGGAAAAAGAGAGAAGCACTACAAAGGAGTTAAAATTCAGCAGGATCCTCCCAACCCATTGGCTGATAAAAACTCAGACCCTTTTCAGCAGTGGTGTCTGCAAGTCATTCATTTCTTTTCAACCACTTCTAGTCAGTTGCAGTCATCTGACATGGAAGCCCAAATGTTTCTAATCATCAATATATTGGAATTTGGTTATGAGAGAATGGCAGGTAGATACTTCTGGCATCTTGTCATGTAACCATTTACTTAGAGTTGAGCCCTGCCCTTGAACCTAAAATCCAAAGATGACTCAATAACAAATTAAGCACTTTCTTGTTCACCATGATTGCTTCCTGATTTAATTTGATTACAGCTGTAGTGGTATAATAAATGCTAGGTAACACCCAGAATAACTAGCACAATCTTCAAAAAGGCAGTATCTAAGCTGGGTTTGATCAGAGTTTGCCCTGGCAAACCCTCACATCGTTTTAATTTAGCAAGAAGCACAATTTGCTGGTTGTTGTAGAATGCTGAAGTTTAGATTTCAGTTATCTTTCTTGGTCTATCCCAAAAAACTGCCAAGTCAAAAAGAAATAATGTTGTTGCTTCCTTCTTCTTTATGATCTATTTCTGTATGAAAAAATATTGGGACCCTTTAAGATTATTGTTGCAAACAAAAGCAAGATCTAAAGCACTATGTATTAATTTAAAATGAATAGATTGCAAACAGTTTTCTGGCAGTTGTGTGAAAGATGATTACATTACTGTAGTAATAGCCTTTATGGTTTTTACATAGCAGATGTCCCAAACCAATATTTACACATTGTCGCTGAAGCATTTCAGAACACTTCTGTGCCTTTTTGTGTTAATCTCAGGTGTTGATAAATTTGAATGATATCAATGACAATCAACCAACGTTCCCTCGTTCTTATGAAGGGCCCTTTGATATCACAGAAGGACAACCAGGTCCAAGAGTGTGGACTTTCCTAGCTCATGATGGGGACTCAGGACCCAGTGGACAAGTTGAGTACAGCATTATAGCTGGAGATCCTCTTGGTAAGTGATGGAAAAGAAAAAGAAGCAGAACCAAAACTCTGTTCTTTACCATTTTCATTTCATCCAGAAATGCATTCCTCGTGGAAATATGCCATTGTGGAAAGGAATGGTAAGCCTACAGTTAATAATGCAAGCCAAGGAACTGACATTTTATGCCTGCCTTGTTTCTTTACTTCCCTAAGCAAATAGCAATGCTTATTAAAAGCAAGCTTCTGTATATGTAGAAAAGGATGGTTCTCCCTTTCAAAATTAGGGGGGGGAAAACCCAATACTATTGAACTGAATTGGGGTGGGTTTTTTTCAGTTCTTCATTTTTATGTATCTTTGAATTATTTGTTGACTTCATACTGCAGGCATCTACAACCCTGTGACGTTTAATCCCTCACCTATTACTGCAGAAGCATGTTGGTAATCATTTGTATGCATATGTGTTTGCTCGTTATTCTGGTCACATTCAATTTTGACTAATGATTCTTTGGGTGGATTTGGACAGTACAAGGGATCTGTAAAGCAGATATCCTAATTGTTTGCTTTAATAGTGGGAAGATTTCTGGCTTTCAAGATCTGCTTTGGTGAGAACAGAATATCTTCTTATTTAGGAATATAATTGGAGGGGAGCCATTCAGTTCCTGTTATTCCTAAATTGAAGTCAGAAGTCTTTGCAAATCACTTTTCTTCCCCACTCCTGATGTTCACCGAATAGTGTAAATGGAAAACCACTCTCAACATCAATGAAAAACATTGCTGTGAATGTCTTATGTTGCCTGGGTTGCTCTTTGATGATTGGTCACTCAATATAATGCCAACAATAATAATAATTCACTTCTTTCTATAGAACTAGTATTGTTAATGACAAAACAGCTAAGGTTTTCCCCTCTTTGCTTTTACTTTAGGCAGGTTTTGCATCAAAATGGGCAAGAAAAGTTTTCAAAGAATTTTCTGTAGTTTTGAATATATGTATACATGGTGCTTAAAAGTCTGTGAACCTTTTTGAATTTTCAATATTTCTGCATAAATATGATCTAAAGCATGATCTGTTCTCCACACAAGTCCTAAAACTAGATCAAGAGAACCCAATTACACAAATGAGTCAAAAACATTATACTTGTTCATTTATTTATTGAGGAAAATGATCCAAAGCTACGTATTTGGGTGTGGCAAAAGTATGTGAACCTTTGCTTTCAGTAACTGTGTGCCCCTCTTGGGCAGCAATAATTGCAACTAAAGGTTTCCAATAACTGTTGATCAGTCCCACATATTGGCTTGGAGGCATTTTAGCCCATTTCTCCTTCCAGAACAGCTTCAACTCAGGGATGTTAGTTGGCTTCCTCTCATGAACTGCCCCCTTCAAGTCCTTCCACAACATTTCTATAGGATTAAGATCAGGACTTTGACCTGGCCATTCCAAAACATTATCTTTCTTCTGGTTTAATTCTTTTGTCATATGACTTGTGTGTTTTGGGTCACTGTCTTACTGCATGACCCACTTTCTCTTGAGCTTCAGTTGAAATACCCTGACATTTTCCTGTAGAATTTACTGGTACAATTCAGAATTCATAGTTCCATCAATGACGGCAAGCCGTCCTGGTCCAGAGGCAGCAAAGCAAGCCCAACCATGGTACTGCCACCACCATGTTTCATCAATGGGATAAGGTCCTTAAGCTGGAATGCAGGGTTTGCCTTTCACCAAACATAATGCTTTTCATTCAAGCCAAAAAGTTCTATTAGGGTCTCATCCATCCACAAAATATTCTTCCAATAGCCTTCTGGCTTATCCACATGGTCTTCTGCAAACTGTAGATGTGCAACAATGCTCATTTTAGACACTAGTGGCTTTCTCCTTGCAACCCTGGGACGCATACCATTGTTGTTCAGTGTTCTCCTGATGGTGGTCTCGTGAGCACTGACATTCGCCAAGGCAAGAAAGGCCTTTAGTTCCTTAGAGGTTACCCTGGGGTTCTTTGAGAACTCCCAGAGTATTATAGGCCTTGCTCTTGATGTGGTCCTGGTTGGTCAAACAGTCCTGGGGAGAGTAACAATGGTACTGAATTACCTCCATTTGTACACAATCTGCCTGCCAGTGGACTGGCAGAATCCAGACTCTTTGGACATAGTTTTGTAAACTTTTCCAGCCTGGTGAGCATCAACAACTATTTTTCAGAGTCCTCAGAAATCTCCTTTGTTTGAGCCATGACATACTTTTACATACCTGTGTTGTGAAGATATGACTTTGGTAGTGAATACCCAGAATTCTGTTCTTTAAATAAAGCAGGACCTCCCACACTCACCTCTGATTATCATCCCATTGATTGAAACACCTGATTCTAATTTCCCCTTCAAATGAACTGATAATCCTAGAGGATCACATATGTACTTTTGCCACATCCAAATATGTAGCTTTAGATCATTTTCCTCAATAAATCAATGAACCAGTATAACATTTTTGACTCATTTATTTAACTGGGTTCTCTTGATCTAGTTTTAGCTCTTGTGTGAAGAGCAGATCATGTTTTAGGTCATACTTATGCAGGAATATTGAAAATTCAAAAGGGTTCACAAACTTTTAAGCACCACTATATGTGTGTGTGTGTGTGTGTGTGTGTAGAGAGAGAGAAAATGAGAGTGAGAGAATCAACTAATAGATTTTAAGCTACTGTATAACAGTATGCTAACTTTGCTCGTTCTGGTTTAAACTGTTCACCCTGAAATCAGTGCCAGACATTATGCAGAAATGCAAGAGAGAGATTACTTAGAAATGAGCAATCTTTCAATCAAAAGGAAAAATGTGAGAAAAGAGAGAAATGCATGTAAGGATAGTGAAGGGAGCAATTCAAAACCATATGATCAGGGGCCTCTTCTGAGAAATAGGAGTGTGTACATCAGGAAATCCTGTTACAAGCAACATCCGTGATGAGAGGAAGCATTGCAAACTTTTGTGCTTGCCATATTAGAAGATGCTTTTGCAAGCTCACCAAGTGTTTTGGAAGGAATGTCAAGCTTGCCTTCAAAAAAATCTAAAGTACCTCTCTGAGGGACGGGAAGTTCCCCTCTTCTGAAGTTAAAGCAACAATTCTTTTTTTTCAAGATTTGAGGAAGAACCAGGTTTTCAGTCAGTCTTTCAAGAAGCTGATCAGTACTAACTTTTTCAGTGCTGAAAATGTGTAACAATATTTCTTTAACATGTATCTCTGTCAATTGACCTGTCCATTCTGAACATGAAGGAAATTTAAATAAATACGAACTCCCTTTAAAGTTCCCTAAAAGAAAGTATCATTGAAAACCGTGGGCCCTCTGTTGCTTTATGCTCGGTGCCAGGAAAAACATCAAAACAGAGGTCTTGCAACAGCTCTAGATTATTGAGCAAACTCCTAGAGGAAAGAGGAAGTTTTGTAGTTAGAGCTAATTAGAGCAGATTAAATTTATGGGCTTAAGACTGATGGAGAGGAGAGAACACAGGAGATGTAGTCCTCTGAGATACAGATAAGGGCTTTTTTTTTTTTTTTTTGCTCTTTCTTGGAGCATCTGAGAAAATCCTGTCCAACTGCCAATCAACAGTGATGTGATTCTCTGCTATCTTAGGCCTTGGATACACACCCCCAAAAAGGGCAAAAATCCCATTTCTGCTCTCTCATTAATTCAGTATTCTGCATAATCTTGAAAAATTGCTCACCCGTAGTCTAAGCTCTGGCCTGGATTAGGTGAGGGAGACAGAATCTTCAGTGTTTTTGGTATTTATGAAGTCCGTTGTGAATAGTACCTGAGCTTCAGGAGTAGGGACGAAGCCATTTCTCTGGTACCATTTCTCTGGTACTGCTACAGCAACAAAATACAACGTCCTCCTTGTGATGAGAGATTAGAGATTCTGACTTGCATAGAATAGTGGGAATATGCTTTGAGTAAGACAGCTTTGGTCTTGTTTGTGGCATACTGGCCATAACTGCCCAAGCTGACCATAATTTCCTTATCATCAGCAGGCAATGCTGCATATGGGAGGGCTATGACTAAGACTGGTAATTAAGTCTTAATTACAGGAAAATCTCTGTTTTCCTAAAAAACATTATATGAAACCCCCAGTTGAATAAAGCCATGATGGGCAGTGGTGATCAATACCTGTGGGATAACATAGGAGATTGCAACTTGGAATGTAAGAAGAGCAAATGATAAAGACCATGAATTGATTAATTAAAGGAAAGAAAAATAGGTATTTTGTGTGTCTATGAAAATAGGAGAAAGTGGAAGGATGTAATGCATCTGGGTTGAAACAGCCTGATCTTGTGGAGTTAAATTGATGAAAGAATACAGTGAAGTGAAGGTATAGGTTTAATTATGGATGAAAGGACTAACACATATGCCAGGAAGTATCAGTTAGGCTCATCTAGGTTGTTGTAAGTGCATATATTCAACAGGGATCAATAATAGTTATAGTTACATGTCACATTCCAGTGAATGGTAATAATAAGAAAATCAGGCAAGAGTTTTGGAAAAACTGCAACATTCAGAATGAATGTGGTCCGGGGGGGGGGGGGGGACTATTCTATTAGGTGAATTGTTCTGTTAGAATGAATGTGAATTGTGACTGTTGAATATCAGCTTAAAAGAGAGTCTGTTTCTTTTTAAAATGTGTTTTAAATATACATCTTAATTAAGAATATAAAGAAGGAAGGAATTTTAAAAAATAAATTGTTTCATTGTTTATAATGCAAGACTAGGTAAGACATGTACAAGGATGACAAGAAGTTCCAAACGTAGCACAGCTCATTTCATAATAGAACCAAGAGTGGCTGCTGGAGAAAAATGGACATAGAAGAAAAGGAAAGATGTCAAAGAAACTAGAATAAAAGTAGAATGAGTGCAGGAAGAAAAGGTTTGGCTTCTCTATGGAAAAAACAATTGGAAGACAGGTTAATCTCCCAACAGAAAAAGTATGTGATCATAAGGAAAGATTTGTTTGGAACAAAATTATATATAATTCATGGAAAAGATTAAGTGAAAGAAGCTGTGGATGAGAAAAAAATGCTTGCTGCAAAATTAAAGTAAGATACAGAGGAAGTGTATAGAAAGAAAAAGATAGTGGCAAAGAGTGTAGTCAAAGAGAGAAGGAACATTTATGCAGAGAGTTTTGTTGGCAATTAAAAAATGTTTTGGAACTAAACACAATGCCTTTAGCAAAGTGAATGGAATTAAAAATGATGAAATAATTTGGGATGTTATATTGAGTAATAATTGCACAACCTCAGTAATTGTTTCTTCATTCATAGATAATACTGCATTTTTCCCAAAAATACACCTTTGTATTAAGTAAAATAAAATAATTATAAGACTAGAGAACCAGTTTGGTGTAGTGGTGAAGGCACCAGGCTAGAAACCAGGAGATGGTGAGTTCTAGTCCCACCTTAGGCATGAAAGCCAGCTGCGTGACCGTGGGCCAGTCCCTCTCTCTCAGCCCACAAGGAGTTGGTCAACTCCTGTTGCAATCAAAAAGATCAACTTTCAGTTGATCTGAAAAAAGCGGACCCTGCACCGACAGGAAAACACTAGGAAGAAAAAAAATTATAATAAGACTAAAAAGAATAATAATAATCAAACAAGCACTGAGTACTGTTGTGTACTTTTCAAAAGAGGGAAATGAATATAAAACCCTGTCTATATTTGTATAACTGTATATGCTGTATTATTGTTAATAAAGCTTTTTTAACTAAAAAGAAAAAGAAATAATTTGGGATGAAACTGGAGGGAGGAAAGCTGGAATTTTTGAGATTCATAAAGAAGTAATAGTGATATATCTAAGACTGGAATTCTAAGCAAAAGCCATAAATGTCAGTGCCCAAGAAAAATGATGAAAAGAAGTCCTAAATGCTGTGAGAACACTGAAAAATAGTAGGGCTGCAGAGGTCGATGATGCAACTGGAGAAATGTTAAAATATGGGTGTGGTTTGCTCACAGAGTGGCTGGGCAACTTGCTTAACTTGTGTGTGAAGAGTGCATCGGTGTCTGTTGATGGGAGCCCTGTCATTATTGTTCCTTACACAAAGGGAAAAGCAACAAGAGGAAGTGTACACTGTTTGGCAGGGTTCTGATGAAAGGGTACGTGAGGTGCCAATACACAAAATTGCTGGTTCAGTATGGCTCTGTGCCAAGCAGGGATATCAAACTAGATGCTAACTCTTCACCAGGCTATTGGGAAATGTATCCATGTCAGAAAAAAATAGTTACCACATAATTGCTAATTTAGAGAAAGCATAAGATAAAGTGAATACACTTGAACTATGGGATATTTTGCATGAAGACGGAACTGAAGGTTGGTTGCCAAGTGCAATAAAAACAATATACGGGAGTAAAACAGTTGTGGGAATCCATTAAATGCTTAGCAAATGGTATGACCTTGAGCAAAAGCAAAGGCTAGAATGTCCCCTTGGTTGTTTAATGTATTTGTGGATAAATGTATAAGTAATGCTTCTGGTGACATTAGAAATGTGTTGGTTGGGGGCATAAATGTTCATGTGCTTCGGTGTGCAGAAAATAGTATTTTTGTTGGCTGAGAACCAGAATGGTTTGTAACCCTGTTTGACTGAATAGTGCAGCGGGGATGAAAATTAATGTATCAAAACTGATGTATCAAAAAGTAAAGTCTGAAGTTGAAATATTAATCCTCTTTCATTTCTGGATTATAGTTGTTACTGCTGCCCCCAGCATAAATCTGACCATGTCTTTATTTTTTATATTTTTATTTTCTCCTTCAAACAATGATTTTATAAACCTCACTATTGTAGAATTTCAGTGGGTTAGTAGTTCAGTATTTGACTATCTTACATACTTAGTAGTTAGCAATTAAGTAAATAAGTAGTTCAGGTTTTAAGTATTTTAGACCTTCTCCAGGATTTTAGTATCTGCATTTATATGTTATTTTAGTCCAAACTGTCAATGTATCATCCATTTAGAAATTTTCTTTTTATATTCCTAAGAGCTCTGTAACTTTCCACAAAATTATATATGATTTAATGTAAATTTATACATTAAATACTCTACCAGTGGTTTGAAGGGCCCTGAAGACCTGGCTGTTCACCTAGGCCTTTGGCAAGCATGATAGAACTTCCCTTTTCTTCTTTTTCTTTATTCCCATCTGGGTTTCTTCTGTCTGCCATCTTTGTTCCTTGTTTGTTTGTCTGTTTGTTTGTTTGTTTTGGGTTGTTTTTCTTCTGTCTGCCATCTTTGTTCCTTGTTTGTTTGTCTGTTTGTTTGTTTGTTTTGGGTTGTTTTTCTTCTGTCTGCCATCTTTGTTCCTTGTTTGTTTGTCTGTTTGTTTGTTTGTTTTGGGTTGTTTTTCTTCTGTCTGCCATCTTTGTTCCTTGTTTGTTTGTCTGTTTGTTTGTTTGTTTTGGGTTGTTTTCTTGTTTTCTAGTTTTTAACCATTTGCAAACCGCCCAGAGTTTCTGGGAGTCAGGCAGCATATAAATTTAATGTAATAATAATAATTAAAAAGCATAATAAAACAAGCTTCAACATAATATTAAAAACAATATACAACCCTGTTCAATAAAATGTATTCATTAAAACAGTGGGGGATGGGATATTCTTCTTTTCCCAGGATTTATAACAGGAAGATCTGGTTGAAGAGGTGAATGTGCAACATGCTGTAAGAGTTAGCATAGAAGGCACATCCTGAATTTCAGGAATAATCAGGTTTTCAGAGTGTGGGAGCCCACAGAAAAGATCTGGCCATGAGCAATCACCAGATGTCATTCAGCAGCTCCCAGTTTCTTTTCTTTATTTAACTTGATTAATCTTAATTTATTCAATTTAGGCACTGCCCGACTCCAAAGTGACTTTGGGTGGTGTACAATAAAACCAAACCAAATAGAAAATAGAATATAATAATTATTTTAAAAATAATTAAAAAGGAATAAAGAACAAGAAACAAGGGTGAGGGGAAAATACCAGTATTAATAATAATGAACTGTAGATGGTGAAAAACAGTCGTATTTGTGGTTTTATGGTTTATTGGTAAAAGCATGACCGAAGTTCATCAGCTTCTGAATTATGTGGAAAAGGAGATAAAAGAAAAAAATTGACTTCCTCTTTGTCACCAATTGTTTGAACTGGAGGAAAAGCAAGGGCACATTTTAATTTGTACAATTTGTTGCAAATATATGATTTGTATGTATAAGATATGTTCATACATCCCTGTGCTGGCTACTCACTGTAGATAATCCTAAATTAAACTTTCATGTTTAAAAGTGGTATATTTCTGAATATCAGATGAAGAGACAAGCAGAACCCTTTCCACTTGGGTTACAAGCTGCCAGAAACATCTGATTAGTATTAGCTTGATTCAACTAAGACTGCTTTTTTGGTTGTCGTTATTGTTTAATGAGATCAAATTGTCTGGTTCAATCTAATGGTCTCCTAAATGTGTTCAACTTCAATTCCTGTTCTTCCTAGCCAGTTGGGAATGATCAGGATTGAATTTTAACCCATCTGGAAAGCTTCAGATTGAACCAGGCTGAAATACATTAAGGCTGCAAGGGAATACAGTCTTAACCAAAAGTAAATCCCACTGAATGCATCCTTAGGGTTGCCCTATCTTCCCAACTGGAATCTCAAGCTTGGTGGCTGATAATGTAAACTTACATTCTGACAGATTGCTATCTCTACTTCAGAGCATTTTGGGTCATTGTGCCATCTGTTCCCAGTATATGTTCCCATTTTCTTAAGAAGCATGAAGCTTTCTAGAGTACTTTGGAGTGCCAAACTTCTGTTTGTAGGATCATAAGAGGCTATCAAGTCCAACACCAATAAAAATGTCCCCAGAAAATGGGTCTCCAGACCCTCAGCCCATCCAATTAATGTATTATTATTGTTGTTGGTCACACAGCCAGGTGTTTAGACTGGATTTGGCATTTTTATCCACCTATCAAGTCCTTCCCAAGGAAGATGGGCAGATGTTGTTGTTTATGGTGTTAAAGGTATCGCTGCAACTATTGTAAGCTGTTCCAAGTAAAGCTGTCTTTTGCAATTGGTGATTTTGTCAATGCCGGTGGTCTTCAAGTGGTGCTCCAGATGTTTTGGGATTGCACCCAAGTCGCCTATTACTACTGGTACTATTCTTTGCTTTCTTTTGCCATAGTCATTCTACTTCTATTTGCAGGTCTTTATATTTTGTGGTGGTGGTGGTGATGATGATAATGATGATGATGATGATGATAGCTTTCCTCCCTATAACATGGCTGCATGGCTGTGTCCATCTTGCAGGAGAATTTGTGATCTCACCTGTGGAAGGGGAGCTACGTGTGAGGAAGGATGCTGAACTTGACCGAGAGAACATTGCTTTTTATAATCTCACCATTGCGGCTAAGGACAGAGGGGTGCCTTCTCTCAGCTCTGCTGTAAGTCTTAGTGGTTTAGGGTGGGATTGCAAAGGTGAGGTTCTGAAATGTCCATGTGGAAAAAGTGAATTACAAAAGATAATGAATTGTGGATGGTGGGGGGGGGGGGGGGGGTTAGGAATGGATTATTCTTGCCTTTATGACGCCATGTGGGGAAATAGAGGAGTTGCCCTAGCAACAGAGTGAGCGTTCTTCATAATAATGGCCTTTTAGCTGATCTTTTCATGTGCCTTTTCCCTGTGTTTTAGGTCATGGTGGGACTGAATGTTTTGGACATTAATGATAATGACCCTGTCCTCCTGAATCTACCAATGAATCTCACCATCAGTGAAGTTGCTCCCATCTCCAGCTTCATCACCCGCATCCTTGCCAGGGATGCGGATAGTGGCAGGAATGCGCTTTTAACATTTAGCATCACAGCAGGGAATAGAGACAATGCTTTTTACATCAATAGTACAGTAAGTCTTAGAGTTCTTTTATACCTGTCTCGTGGCTTCCTGCATCAAATACTGAGAACTTGAGTGTCCCATCTCCCTAGTCCAGCACCTTAACCACTACACCACACTGGTTCAAACTACATAAATGCTCTAATAAATCCATGGCAACCATGGATCCTGGTACCTCCTCAGAGCCAGAGTGAAAGCAATGGAGTCCATATGCTTAACTATAATTTTTTTGCAGAGGTTCGCCATGGTGGCATATTCTTGGTAGCACAGGTCCATATCTGAAACCCTTAGCACAGTCATTTCATCTCTGTGCCACAGCTGGATTTCAGGAACTGGGAAGCTGAGTGAGCCAGCTATCACCTCCTGCAGCTGTGCAGATCACTCCGTGCAAAACAACATTGCAAATTGCTGTCAATTTTGCAGTAAGACTCACTGCTTCAAAATGGGGCTTCTGCATTGACAAAAATATCTCATGATTGCAGCACTGACAGTGTTGACTGATCAATGGAGAGCTCAGTTCAATACTGCAACTGTATCCATATCTGGAGGCACCCATGGATTGATAAACAATACTGCAGTTGTCTTCCACAGTTGCACTCTAGTACCTGGTATTTAAATATGTTGCTTGCGTAAAGAAGTATTTCCTTTTATCAATCTTCAATATCCCTGCATATTCTTTTAACAAGTGACTCCAAGTTCTAACATTGCAAAAGAGAAAAAAATAACTTTCAGTCCACATTTACCAAACCATGCATGATTTTTATACACCTCTATCTCTTCTCCCCCTACTTGCCTTCTCTTCAAACTTTCCTCATAGCCAAGCTCTTCTAGATTCTTAATTATTTTTTGGGGGGAATGGGTTGTATTTTTGTTAGAAGATATATAAACAAACATAAAAGGAAACAAAAAGAAGACATTAAAAAAGTAAAATACAGATCAATAAACAAGGGTTTAAAAATGTCATGGAAGTTACAGTTTTCCAGTGTATCATTAGTAAGCTATAAATAACTGAATATATTATATTACATTAAAAGGCTAAAAATCACTATTAAGCTCTAAGCTAAGAATTAACATCAAGATTGATGGGCAATGCAGTATAAATCACCAAGTAGAATTATAAGCTACAATAAATTCAATCCATATTACTAAAAATTTGTTCTGATTTAGATACTTTTTGTGATGGAATGGAATTATGAAGGCCAGGCTCAGGGAGATAAGCGTGTTCTTAATTCACTGGAGGAGT